TGAGGTAAAACAAAGATGATGTGACATATGCATTTACCAATCACACGTGCATAAATCTAATAATATGGCGTGTGGCCTATATTAATGGCACATAAACCCATATTGTGGGCTTACGTGCTTTATGTACCATCATTCCCTTGCAGCGTGTGTGTTGGTTTCCTTTTATAACACAACGAACTCCATATTTTAGGGTGAAGAGCGTTCTCATGGCAAGCACAAAATCTGTAAGTGAGGCAGAAAAGGAGACGAAGAAGGAGATAGGTGAAGATGTAGAATATATAAGTCTTCCAAACTCCCCGTACTATACTCCAGGTGATCATTTTTCTGAACAAACGGCAACATTAACAACTATCGAGAACGCTCCAGTAACGTCAGAGACAACAATCCAAAGCAAAACAACTGACCCGGAGAAGGATGATAGTACCGCTGAGAGTACCAAAAAGGAGGTGTCCACTAGCGCTTAGGCTTATAATGGCGTGTGCCCTCATGCCATTTACTTGATCACCAAATACCTTTTTCCCTTTGCACTAGTATATCTTAATACCGGTCTGAGAAATAGAATGGCATGTGCCCTCAGGCCTTTTACTAAATCACCTTTGAAAGAAATGCAAGCCTCTATGTCGTAAAAAAAAGGTACTAGAGAAATTCCTTAATAATATGAATGTTATTTAGTTTCATGAAAATACACTAAGGGTCAAATGAGTTAAATGACTTCTCCAGACTAGCAATGCCTCTTGCTACACCTTCACAATTAGATTCGTTAGAAAAAGATAACATTGAATAATATCTAAATGTTCTCACCATTAAGTTATATGTCTGGCTAATAGGATTGACGTTCATCTTGGAAAGCTCACCACACGCTCAATGAACAAACAAATAGTGTGTGCGCGCATGCCATCGCTCTTCTTTAGCTTCAGATTCGGCTTGTTCACCTTGACAATGAGATTTATTATACAACCAGATGGACTCAGTCTGGACATAAAGTCACCGCGCTAGTCACCATGCCCCAGATATGTCTAGCCCCTGGACAAAAAACATATAATTTCACGTCATTTTCAAATACTTGAAAATTTGTACCTAGTCCCATTTTACTGAATAAATCCCACTTTAACGAAATAGAGCATAATGCTAATTTTCTAGGATCACTTCTACTACTGTCGTCGATCAATTTGCAAGGATCGAGGTCTCTCGATCCGTCTTACGATGCAAACCAGGCATCGTGGAATAACGGATTCATCTCCCGTGACTTTTACATGCTGTAAAAGAAATGTTGGCATACTCAACAAAAGATCCTCGGCCTCTTTGCCGCGAGGCAGAGGTTAAAAGCCAATGAGAAAGCAAAAAAACGTTTGCATGCTAAAGTTGGGAGCAACGTGGCAGCACGTCTGCTTTTCGAAGCTGCATTATATTCTGGACCTTGGACCCTGCAAAGTTATGTAGTTTGATCCCCTCCAAATCCAGCGACATAGCCATATGGCGACTTTCTTGTTTTGTTTGGCAGTCTTGTACGCGTCTATGTCTACTCTACAAGCTTTGTCTTCCGATCCCGATCTTGTCTGAGACTTTTGTGTGGCAGACCTCGACCATCCGCGTATCCCTGCAACGAGTATCCCTGCAAGCCGTATGCCAACGTGACGATCGACGACTTCGTCTTCAGCGGCTTGCTCACTCCTGCCGACCCCAGCCTGGGCCCCGCGGGCACCAGCGTCACTCCAGCCTTCGTCGAGACTTTTCCAGGACTCCATCGTTTGCTCGGCTCGACTTTGTGGAGGGTGGCCTCATTCCGCCTCACACGCATCCTCGCGCCTCCGAGTTCGTCTAAATCACCCTGGGTCGCTTGTACACTGGATTCATCGACACAGCCAACAGGGCGTTTGCGAGAGTTTACTCCAAGGGCGAGGTGATGATCTTCCCGAGGGGTCTCATCCACTGGCAGCTCAATGTGGGAGAGGGTTCAGCGTCGGCTTTTGCAGTGCTAACAGCGAGAAGCCCGGGTTTCAGACCATAGCTCCGTCCATGTTCGGGAGTAGTGTCACGGAAGAAGTTCTCCAAAAGGCATTTCGGCTGGACGCTCAGACTGTGCACAGGCTTGTCGAAGAGTTTGTTCCCATGGCTGAATTCATCCGAGGAACAGTAAGGTCGTGATTAAATTCATTGTAGAGCAATAACACAATGTTACTCAAATGGAATCTAGTTTTAATCGACCACTTTCATCTTAATCTTTTGATCTACTTGTTAATTCGCAGTGAATGGCGGCAAGTTCTGTATAAACTGCGGACGTAGACTTGGTGCTCGGCAGAAAAATGGCAGGGTTATTTTGCTTCGCAGCTTTGTTCTTGATGCTCACTCTCGCCACAGCAAGTTTCATGCTAGGATCGCATGTCTTTTGCGTTGCGGACCTGCATTGTCCGCTTCTCACCAACAACAACTACTCGTGCAAACCATACCCCAACGTGGCGATCGACGACTTCGTTTTCAGCGGCTTGCTCGTTCAATTGCTGGTCGAACAATTGAACCCATCATGACTGGTCCATGTGTCTCCATCTGGTCTCCGGGCTTTGCGAAAGCTTTGGCCAAAATTATGGTTAGTCAGCACGCATGCAACTACAGAACAGCCATGAAGGTGTGTAGGCAAGCCTGTTGTAAATGCTTGTAGAGGCCTTTAGCCAGGAAACATCATGTTCAGGTTCTTCTAGACTCTGCCTCTTATACTCTCTCTCTCTCTTGGGGTCATTGAGTTTCCCCAGCATGCTGCAAGACAACACCATCTTCCCCTCAGCAAGAGTGTCATGTCATGGCATAGGAATTCCTTGCACATCCTCTCACAAGACCAAACTCTCTTAGAAATGCGCCCTCACATGTCTTCGATTTTGACACCCTTGGACACACAACCACGCTTCGGAATCTACATGCAAAGTTTCCTGCTAAGATCACATGTTTAAAACACTCATAAACACTTCAACCCATGGGTGAATTTATATATTAACTATGTGGCTTTCCCCTTGTGATCTATTTGTCAATTGGCAGCATCTTTTGAGGCTAAGGAATAGAGAGAGGAACAGGTTGACAGTGAATCCGGTGAAGGATGAGACTTAAGAAAGGAAACAAGTTAAAGATAATTTATAGAAGTTGTCTTACATAATAAGTAATCAAATAGATCAATGATTATTGCATATTTCACAAAACCAAAATAGCAACTGCTGCAAGGTGTTATTAAACTGAATCCCTAATACATAATAGGGGAAAGTTAGTCATCTAATCTCTAATAACTACTACTTTACATTTTCTATAAACAATATCTATTGTTTATAGAAATGCCAGATAAAACACAAGATTAACAGTGGCAATGTCAAAACTATCATAATGTTTCAAAAATAAAGGTCGCAAAAAGGCTTTGTAAAACTATCAACCACCATATATTGTGTAGTAACTGATGCCATAATGATATTCCTCTTTCGTATTTCAAATCAAACTTAGTGATAGAGTGTTAATATGTTTAAACTTTGAGTGAAGAGTAAGATCTTTAGCCAAAATAATAGTAAATTGATTATCACAATATAAAGATGTGGGGAGTGACAAAAAATGTCCCAAGTCAATAAGTAATCTATCAAGCCATATGATTTATCGAGTGGCTAAACTAACTACAAACATATTTTGCTTTTGTAGAAGGTATTGCTATCTAATGTTAACATTTAGAAAACCAAGCCACAACACCAAAATTTATAAATAAACACGAGCCACTTGTAAATCAACAAGAGTCATCAACTACACTAGCCTGATAATATCACAAAACAAATATAAATGATCCCATGATTAATAGCGCCTTGAAGATATTGAAGAATTAATTTTACCTCCAATAAATAATTTGCAGAGTTGTGAGTATTGCCTCAAGGAATTAACAATATATTTGATATCTAGCTGAATAACATTACTAATGTACATCAGTGTACCAACTAAGTTTTGATACTCTCAAACATTAGTAAAGGCAGTAGAAATCTGAGGCTTTGGAGATGTAAGAATTGACTGTGATTTAATTCCAAAATATAATAAAGCATCACAAATATACTTAAAAGAATATAGTGTGATAAAGCCTGAAACAACCTTAACAAAATCTAAAATGAAATTTAAAGGAGAATACTTTGATCAAAATTATCCATGACCTCAATGCCTAGCAATAACATATAGAACCACCATCAACCATGTCAAAAGCTATGCTTAACTAGGACTTGATATTGGCAAAAAAACTAAAACTACTTGCACAAAGGAGTAGGGAGTCCCTTTAAAATAAAGATTTGAATTTGCTTGAGCTTGAAACTCTTCTCCACTTAAAGAAGAATCAATTTTATATAAACCAAGTATGTGCTGCTTGTTTCAGTGGGAAAGAAGTGAACATTGATTGAGCCCAGGGAGAACCAGAAGAAGAAAAACAATTGAGCAAGGATGTTGGTCAGGATGCAAGTTGTAGTGGCTGGTCTAATGCTAGGTTGCAAAGTGTTAATAATGATTACACTAAGCTTCCTGTGGAGCTGGAAGAGCTCATTGACTAGGCAGTTGAGACTCATGCAGAGTTGGATTCGTTTCAGTTGTTTAACCAGTGGTTTCTCGAGTTGATATTCAATATCTTGACATCTTGATATAGAAACCCATCATCCAAAGAATGTTTTAGGCAATTCAGTGAAGCCAATAACCCAAGTCAGATTCTTGGCAACTGTAAACACTCTTACCTCTAAGTTAAATCTCTATGTCTTTTTAAAGAAAAAGGCAAATTGCCTTTCTGGGCATCCAGACATTCAGCGGCAAATTGTCTTGAAGTGCCTCACTCACAAGGTCGTGATTAAATTTATTGTAGAACAATAACAGAATAATACATCCATCGACCACTTTCATCTTAGGAAAACTTTCGATTTGCATAGAGGCGATCTTTCGATCTACTTGTTAACTCGCAGTGAATGGCGGCAAGTTCTGTATAAACCGGACGTAGATTTGGCGACGGCAACAAAATGGCAGCGTTGTTTTGCTTCGCAGCCTTGTTCTTGATGACCTCCCTCTCGCCACTGCAAGTTTCATGCTCGGATCGTGATCCACTCCATGACTTCTGCGTCGCGGACCTGTATTGTCCGCTGCTCAACAACAACGACTACTCGTGCAAGCCATACCCCAACGTGACGATCGACGACTTCGTCTTCAGCGGGTTGCTCACTCCTCTGGATCCCAGCCAGAGCACGTCCGGAGCGATCGCCACTCCAGGCGACGTGAACACGTTCCCGGGACTCCACACGCAAGGTTTCTCCTTCGCCCAGCTCGACTTTGTGGAGCGCGGGCTCATCTCCCCTCACACACATCCTCGGGCCTCCGAGTTCGTGTATATCCTCCACGGGGACTTGTATGCGGGGTTTGTGGACGCGGGTAACCGGGTATTCGCGCGAGTGTACCACGCGGGGGAGGTGATGATCTTCCCGAGGGGTCTCATCCACTGGCAGCTCAACGTTGGACGCGGGAGAGCGTCGGCGCTGGCGGTGCTCAACAGCGAGAAGCCGGGATTTCAGATCATATCCTTGTCCATGTTTGGGAGTGGCATCGCGGATGAAGTTCTTGAGAAGACGTTCCGGTTGGAGGCCGAGACCGTGGACAGGCTCGTCAAGTTCTTCACGCCCATAGCTCAAGTCGTGAAAGGGAACTAGAAGTAGCTCCAGATCTTAGTTTCCTTGCAAGTTCCTTGCTCCTTTTGGAACCGCTAATATAGCGAAGTGTTTCGTTGGATATCAGAGATGAGCACGTATGGAGCCGAGCTCTCCTCGGACAAGTCCGTGGCAACCTCGGCTGCCTGGGCCGCTCCTCGGGCATCCCTCTGGACTTTGCAAGCAGCAAGAAGCGTGTCCCAGGCCACGAGATCCGGCACAAACGGCATGGTGGCGATGAGCTCCTCGGCAGCTTGCAGCTTCCCGGAGCGCGCGAGGATGTCTACCATGCACGAGTAGTGAACCCGTGATGGGTTCAATCCAAAGTCGTTTTGCATCGACACGAACAGGCTCCAGCCTTGCTCCAGCTTCCCAACGTGGCTGCAAGCAGCGAGAATGCTCATGAACGCAATGTCGTTGGAGCTGATCCCCTCCACGGCCATGCATTTGAAAAGCTCCATGGCCCTAGCGCTGTGTCCGCACTGGGCATGCGCTGCAACAATCGCATTCCACGATACCAAGTCCCTTTGGGGCATTGTGCTGAAGAACTTCCGCGCTTCAACCATATGGCCTCGCTGGGCATATGCCGCCACCATGGACGTCCATGAAACTATGTCCTGCTTGGGCATCCCATAGAGTATCAACTTGGCTTCGTATACATGTCCGTTGCTAGCAAAGGCCTTCTCGATCGTGTTCCAGGATATCAAGTCTCGCTCTGGCATGGTATCAAACAACTCCTTGGCATTCACAAGATACCCTTGTTGGGCATATGCGTCAATCATACAGTTGTATGTCGCTACATCTCTATCCCTCTCACTCATCCGATCAAAGATGCTCTTGGATTCCTCAACATACCCTCTCTGGGCATACCCATTCAAGAGGAGATTCCAAGACACAACGTCTCGCTCTTCCATCCCTTCAAACAGTGCACTCGCTTCCTCGAGGCAATTGTTTTGGATGTAAGCCGAGATCAAAGCGTTATAAGACACGATGTTTCTCGGCCGAGGCATCATCTCGAACACGTTTCTAGCAGCGTCAGGATCGCTATTTTGGCCATAAGCAGTGATCATACAGTTCCAGGCCACGATATCCTTGTTGGGCATTTTTTCAAAGAGATTCTCGGCCTCACGAATATTACCTCTTTGTGAATATCCCCCCACCATGGTCGTCCAAGACACCACCGTCCTCTGCGGCATCTTTTCGAAGAGGTATCTGGCCTCCTCCATTTGCCCCTCTTGGACATGGCCTTGTATCATAGACGACCACGTCACAACATTCCTTTCGGGCATTCGCGTGAACAAAGCCTTGGCCTTCTCAAGATCCCCATTCGCGACATAAGCTTGGATCATGGCCGTCCACGCCACTACATCGCGCTCCTCCTTTATGTTCTCAAACAAAGCCTCGGCTTCTTCCACATGCCCTTTCCTGGCAAATGCTGTGACGAGGGCAGTCTGCGCAACGATCGTCTTCACGGGCATCCGATCAAACAAATCCTTGGCAGAAGCTATCTTTCCACTGCGGATGCAAAGCGTGATCATCACATTCCAAGAGATCTCGTTCTTCTCTGGAGCCAATTCGAAAATCTCTCGCGCTTTATCAAGATGCCCGTTGTCGGCATATGCCGTGACGATCGAGTTCCACGTCGAGGCATCTCGCCGGAGCATCCCATCGAACGTTCTGCGCGCTCGATCTAGATCTTTCGCCTGTGCGTAGGCCTGGATCATGATGTTGGAGGAGAAGAGCTTAGGATTCTCTATGGATTCGAAGATTGCGCGGGCGTCATCGACGCTGCCGCATTTGCCATACATCTGGACAAGCAGATTCGCGAGGTATTTGTTGCGGCGGTGCTCGCTCTGCGCAATGCGGGCGTGGATTTGCCTCCCCTGTGACAGATCCTGGCAGTTCTTGAGCAGTGCTCCCCAGGAGAGCAAGCAATCCTCTGAGGTGTCTGTGGAAATCACGAAATTGGGGAAGAGCAATGCCATAAACTTTGCTGGATCTCACATGCATTCGCGATTCACGAGGTATTCCTTGCAAGAATCCGGGCGCGACCTCCACAGCTCTTGAGAATCCTGGACGGAGAAAGAACATTCCAATCTAGCTTGGAGATCACGGCTAAGAAGAAGAAGATAATCCATCTTACATAATATCTATACTGGATTAGTAAACACAAGTCATAAAGGTCAAGTACAAGAGACTTGTTATAATGAAACTTCAAACAATTAAACACTGAATAGAGGAAATTGCTAAGCCAAAGTCCACCAAGATCATCGCATTTATACTATTTACAACTCCAGCAAAAACAAACATAAACTACTCATCCTCCATTAATTCTATATTGCATGTTATGAAAGAGAGTAGAGGAGAGAGAATAGGAGGGCTTTTGTTATTTGTTGGTGATAGAGAAGCACAAGAAATAGAATGCCTATTATCCATAAATGTCAAAAGAGCATAAGAATATTTTTTAGTATATTATTGACATTTGGCACAAGTTCCAGTGTTATGTCCCCATCCATGACATTCCTCACATCATGAACAACAATTATATTATGACATGGCATGAAAAGTCAACAATTTAATCTTCTTAAACTAAATTATGCTTCCTCTTGAGGTTCCTCACTTTCCAACCACCCCAGAACTACCTCAAAAGCTCCTTTACACCGCCACCTAAGGTAGGTTAAGTTCTTTACCCTCACATGCCTTCATAAACCCTTGAGCCTCCCTTTGATTGATGTTGATCACATGGTCAAAATTGGCATTTAACAATTCTTCCCTCTAACAAAGTCTTTGTCCCAAGGACGAGTTGTATTGGTGATCACCCTTTCTGGGGAACCTTGTTCAAGCTCCTAATCCATCTTCCACAGCCATATACATTAAGGAAGCATTGGGCTTATCACTCTGAGATAGTACAATTTTCAACTGGCTAACATAAAATACTGGATGAATTTTCACCCTAGTTGGCAGTTGCACTCGATAAGGCACTTTACCAATGTGCTCTAGCACTTTACATAAACCAGTATACTGATGAGAATTCTGCAAAGGCACTAATGTGTTCCGCTGCTCATTTAACGGAAAGATCAATCGCACAAAGACGAGATCACCCATCTTATATTCCCGAAATTGGCAATGCTCATTAGCAAACTTTTCCACTCTATCTTGAACTGCTTGCAAATTCCATTTGCACACCACCAAAATCTTATCAAGTTCTATGGCCAGATCAGTCGCCTCTGAATTAAGTTTTTCTTGAACATCCTTATTCAAATGCAATTCCAACTCTATTACTATTCAAGGATGCCTTCCAAACATGGCAAAGTAAGGACTTAGTTTGGTTCCACTATGTTGGCTATTGTTGTAGGGAAATTGCACCAACAGAAGATATAAATCCCACTATCTCTGCCTTTGACCAATGCTACAACGTAGTATATCCTCCACCACTTAATTTACATGCTCAATTTGCCCATCTGTCTAAGGATGATCTCCACTCGAGAGTTTTAGAGTCACTTGCATAGCTTTTGCAAACCTCTTCCAAAATCCACTAGTGAACTTTGAATCTTGATTACTAACGATGTCCTCTGGCAAACCAAAATCAGGAAAAACCTTCTCCAAATAGACCGTAGCCAAATCTAAGGTAATGACACTTTTTTGAAGATCCAACAACCATACATACTTCATCAAACGATCAACTATAACCCATACTTGCTCCTTTTGCCTCTGTGTTTGTGGCAAACAAGTGATGAAGTCCATAAAAATACTATACCAACAGCTCTAAGGAATATGTAAAGGTTGCAAAAGTCCCCCCGACTTCTCCCGTGGCACCTTTATATGTTGATAGAGCTCACATGATTTACAATACTTGAGAATATCAACCTTCACATTCCTTCAATAGAAATTGTGCTTAATCAACTCATATGTCTTCTTACCCCCAAAATGACTGACCTTTGGATGATCATGATAGTGGAATAAAACTTAAATAATTAATACATCCACCCATAGCAAATACACATGGCCATTGTAGTAAAGAATCCCATCCACCAATGAAAAAGGTGCTTCCATCTAGGCTTGCAATGAGACCACCTTAGCATCCTAAGCCTAAGCATGCTCAACCAACTGCCCAAATTCGCTGACCATTTTACTCAAATGATGACAAAATTGTGTTTGTAATGCCATCATATGGCAAACACGAGATAAAGCATCTACCACTACATTCGATTTTCCCGGACGATGCTCAATAGGAAACTCCCCAAACTCCATAAGTTTGACCATTCAATAAGCTTGCCTAGTGTTCAACTTCTTCTATATGAAAAGATATATAAAGGGTTTATGATCCATCAACACCATGAACACTACACCATAAAGATAGTTGTAAGCCACAAATTTTTCCTTTCCAATTTGCCAGCTTACCTCGTCTATCCGTCCAACATTGCCTTGGCTTTTGCTAAGTTCCCTTGCCAAGGTTCTCGCCTACGGTACCAGCTCCTACTTGGTTTCAGCTACTCACTGCACGAGCAACGGAGTGTTAGCCATTCATCCACGGATTCCCAAATCACTCCCAATCCCCCTCCCCGGGTTAGACTGGATTTAAGGTTCGGCTACACTCCCTGCAAGCACAAGCAGCCAAGCACACTAAGCTTCCAGGTTCCTAACATCCCTTGGTACCACAAGACTTGATCATGGGACCCTCTAAATCCCAAGTCTTGAGTGCAACACTTGCTTCGGGATGCCGGGGCGAAACACCGTGGCCTAGCGGCCCGGTATGGGTACCTCTACCCCTCCACTTCCATCCTGAAGGAAGGCCCAAGCCCCTAGGAAGGGCGAGGACCAATGAGCCGCATGGTACTCAAGTGGGGCACCACTCCACATGAGCCGGGAGCACCGCAATTGGTTTCCCTTTCGGGAGTGGGAGCTGCTCTTGAGCACTTCCTTGGATGGCCCCTCCGGCACCAACCAAGTCCATGCTCACTCCCACCCAAGGCCCCTCAGTCCCAGTCCCAACCTCAAGTCGG